ATCTCTCGAGTCCACTCCCCACACATCAAGTGCAACGAGCAAAATGCGCGTGGCACGCCGAATCTCCTCACTGGACTGGATGGCTTTGGTGACTTGGGCGCCTCAAGCGAGGGGTCTCCCCTGAAGCAATTGCAGCGGAAGCCGGGCCTCCGCAACTTCACCTGGCGACTCGACCACCGCGACGTCGCAAACGCCGACAAGTACAGCAGAACAAGAGATGCCAATATCATATGCCAATACAAGTACAGCAGCAACCACTGCTTCAGCAACCCTCGACTGTCAGCTTGCACGAGTCAGCTTGGGCTAAACCTGCAGCCATGGGGCTCTGGAAGCCGGGAGGCAGCTTCTTGTCGCAGCCCGCCACTGGAACATCTGCCTTGCCGGATGCTGCCCCCGATTCGGGATTCGGGTTGAAGGCGTCGAATTCCTGGCTTAAAACAAGAACACCTGGTCGCTTAGGCTTCAAACCGGCTCCGTCGCAATGGTCCGCAGCACACGGTTCATCTCGTCGCAACCTGCGCCCCATTCGCTCGCCGCGGCTCTCTATCTCAATCTGGCGCCAGACCATCCCGGCGCAGCGTGTCTTCGGTCATTGGCCGAGGCACGGGTTCTGCGGCAAAGCCAACAAACAAAGTCAAACAAAGTCAAAGCCATGCAACCCCACGAGATCCAAAGCCATCTCCTGGCTTCAGACCTTGAGCTTGCATCATTTTCTCCTGTGGCTTCCCTACGTGCAAAGCTGCAATCCAGTCGCTCTTGGCCTCCATCTCCTTTTCTTGCCGCTGCTTGACTTCCTCTTCATGTGTCCTGCGGGCAACTGAACCAACAAACAACGCTTGATGAACACCAAGCTGCCACTTCCGCTCTCTTTTCGAGAATCGGCGTCGGGGCAAGGCTAGTCATGGCGACCATGCTGGTTGCGCGGCCTCGGAAGCCGCACGAGTCCCCTCCTTCGCACCAGATCGCAGGCCCAGACCCTTCCCAAAGCTCCAGGACAAGAGTGCGTCGTTCGCCCGTGACAGCGCTCACCTTCGAGAATCACGCCGACCCGAAGGCCGCATGGCTTCCGAGTCCATCTTGGGGGCAGGCGTTGTGCCTCTTCTCGGAGAGAAACAAGACCTGACTCGGACACGGATTGAATGCCATGGCAAAAGTTGAATTCTCCTGAGTGTCAAACACCATCGCCCCTCTGCATCTCGTGCTCAATGCGCTCATGTCCAGCAAAGGTGCTGAACATGCCCCCAGTGAAGTCTTCTTGCCTGAAGGCACGGAATTTGCAGACCGCAAACTCTCCCAAAGAACTTCTCTGTACCTCGAAAGGAGCACTGACATGGTCAGCAAGGAGCCGTCATCCTGGCCAAACTCTGCACATCTCCAACCGAGTTGGACGTTTGTTAGTGCAGTTTGCCGGGGGAAAAGAAATGGCGCAATGGCTTGCCAAGGCCAACTTGCCAACCGGTTTATACTTGTGGACAAGGCTTCAAGGGCCTGTCAAATGCGCCATGCTAGCTCGTCGGGTCATGGTCATTGCAGCCCAGTCCCGGTGTTCAGGATCCATCACAGAGCCACCGTCGCTGTAGGCGTGGTACCTCGGTCATGCTTTCTGAAACGCGCCCTTTCTGCCGGCAACAAATTGAGCAGCTTAGACTCAGCTGCATTCCAAAAATATGCCTTCAACGAAAGAAAAAGCAGATTCAGCAGATCAGTGGGATGCATGGTAAGGCTCGATCTACATCACATGGACGTTGGATTTGATTTTCGATTGGACAGCTTCGCTCCGTTTCAAAAAGGCCTGGCAGGTGGGAGCCGCATCTTAGATGCCGACTCCATGCTGCGAACAGCTACATGTCGCTTTGACAGTAGGCCCCAACCTCAGCAAGATCTGCTAAGGCCGTGCAAATTCAGCGAAGCACCTTCCCCGGCCATGTGAGCCCCTTCGGACATCATTAACCATCACGAATCCTTCACAAAAGGCGGGGGGGTCATCTACATCGCAAGCAAACACATGGTCTTAGGCGGTGTCACTCGGGCAAAGCTCTTCCCTTTAAGCCCTTCAACACCTTCCGGATGCTCAGGGCAGCGCGGGCGGCATCCTCTGACCTCGGATCCGAAAGCAATTCCGCAAGATTGCCCGTGCTGAGCCAAAACAACACGGCATATTGGACACTCACGATATCCCTCAATGGCAGACGTGGCTCAAAGTCTGAGCGTTGCTCTAGGCCCAGATGCAGCCATAGAGAAATATCAAATCCCTTTCACCAGCTTTCGTGTTGCTTTCGCTGATTGAGACGTGGGATTAAAGCTCGTGTTCGCTTTCGCGGAAGTCGCTGAGCTGAGGGCTTCATGAATGCCACAAGCTTCGCCTCCAAATCCTCCAAGAACTGGGCTCGGCCTCGGACCTCGGCCGCTTCGGCCGACTTCGGCCGACTTCAGCCCCATCGCCTTGGAGGAATGGAGATACAGCACCCGGTGCTGCTGCGAGCGGTGCAAGGCAGCCTCCGCCGCCTTGTGAAAGCCCGCCTGGCGAATTGGGCGTGAAGCTCTTCAAGGTTGGGTTCAACCTGACTCTCCATGAAAACTCAATATCCATTGAGGAAACACCAGCACAAGTCGAACATGCAACCGTTCTTCGGCCTCTGAGGTAGCAAAAAGATCAATTCCTTCATCTGTGTCATCTCCCGCAAGCAGGGCCCCACCAATCTCGTTCAATTTGTCCACCTCTGCCTTGCAATGTGCAGCAAGTCTCTGAAAAGAGTTTTGGGTTCAAGGGAAACCCAAATAAAAACCAACGCCATTTTGGGGTCTCCCCCGTTTAAAAACGCCACATGTGGGGTCGCTCAATTGCAGGAACGAGCCATTTGGGTCGTTTCTGTATTTGGGTGTGGGTCAAACATTAATACCCAAAATGGAACCCTGGTACATTGAAACAAGGACCAAAACCTGCATCCTGGTGGTTAATTTTTGCCCCATGCCCATTTCATCTGTATGGCAAGTCGTTGCCTTTTGAGTCCGTCGCCTCGTCCAGCACGCGCAGCACCACGGCCTGCGTCGCCTCGGCCTCCGCACGCGTGAGCTGCAGCGGCCGCGCGCCGGCGCTCCACGCGCCGACGTCCTGCGAACGACCGACGTTTGTGGCCCAAGCTGCCCGAAATCCGCGCAGAATTCCTCGCCGCATGGCGGCACCACGAAAACACCCCAGCCTCAAGGCGCAGAAAGGTTCAGAACCCAAGCTTCAGCCACGTTCTCAGTCAGGCATACTTGCAGCGGAGTGGCGCTCCAAATCGCGGCAAACAGGCCAGTTCAACGGGTTTGGGTTCGCAAACAGCGCCTCAGAAAACGCAACGCTCCGTGACAAGGCATCCGCTCACAAACTCGTGAGCCGAGTCGCATCCGGCTCATTGAAGTCAACTGCAGAGTCCAGAGACCTCGAACGGCCCCCCACCCAGTTCCAAATCAACTTCTGGGTGTCTCGTTCGCCTGCAAAATATGGTGCGCCACTCGGGACAAATTTGCCCCATGCACAAAGGCCATCGGCCAGCACACCTTGGGTTCCGGGCTCCACGCACGTGATCAGCCGCAGCCGGGCTGACGCCCACTCCTGCCGGGTCTCTGAAGCTCGCTTCACGATCCAAAAGGCTTCAGGTGGTCCATTAGAGGCTCTCCGCATCTCCGACCAGTCAGAACAAAGGGCCCGATTGGGAGGTTTAGGGAACTAAATCCAGAAGGCTCCAACTCGTTTTTGACACACGGCCAACCATGTGGCTGTGGGTCTTTTAAACCTCACACATTTCAAACACTTGTTCAGCTCCCTTCAACTGGAAAGGCTTCCCCACTCCTGGTGGAGCCATGGTGCAAACCGCACCAGCCCATGGGCGGTCAGGAAGACCAAAGCCACAGTGGCTGCCAAACCTTGCAGCTCCTCACGAAGCACACCCAAAATTTGCTCGTTCTCAGTAGGCAATGAGGGAATGACCCCATAAACCACCCCTTGTGACATTGTGGCTTCCGTTTACGGAACCCAAAACTTCATCCCCAAAACCCTGGCGGTTCCATACAGAGAACTAGCAAGGAGAATGCCTTTGCGGATGTCCAAAACGGAATGCCGAAAGGGGGCAAAGGGGTCCTTGTGGTTTCCCGGAAACATCGCAAAAAGAAAAAACCCAATCAAACATGGACCCTGAAACAAAAGAGGGCAACATCCTAAGAGGAATCCCCTTTTGCCAACAAGCATGTCTGACTTGAAGCAGACACATTGCGATTCCTTGCTTTGCTTTGCTTGCTTGCTTTGCTTGCTTTGCTTGCGTGCGTGCTTGCTGGCTTGCTGGCTCGCTGGCTTGCTGGCTTGCTGGCTTGCTGGCTGGCTGGCTGACTGGCTGGCTGGCTGGCTTGCTGGCTGGCTGGCTGGCTTGCTTGCGGGCTTGGCTTGCTGGCTTGCTAGTTTGCTTGCTTGCTTGCTGGCTTGCTTGCTTGCCGGCTTGCTGGCTTGCTGGCTGGCTTGCTGGCTCGCTGGCTCGCTGGCTGGCTGGCTTGCCGGCTTGCTGGCTGGCTTGCTGGCTTGCTGGCTCGCTGGCTGGCTGGCTTGCTGGCTTGGCTTGCTGGCTTGCTTGCTTGCTGGCTTGCTTGCGGGCTTGCTTGCTTGCTTGCTGGCTTGCTTGCTTGCTGGCTTGCTTGCTTGCTTGCCTGCTTGTGTTTGCGTGTTTGCTTGTTTGTTTGTTTGTTTGTGTGTGTGTGTAGGGATTAGTCGATTGATGGATTGATTGCTTGATTGCTTGCTTGCTTGCTTGCTTGCTTGCTTGCTTGCTTGCTTGCTTGCTTGCTTGCTTGCTTGATTAGCTGACTGACTGACTGACTGACTGACTGACTGACTGACTGACTGACTGACTGACTGACTGACTGACTGACTGACTGACTGACTGACTGACTGACTGACTGACTGACTGACTGACTGACTGACTGTCTGTCTGTCTGTCTGTCTGTCTGTCTGTCTGTCTGTCTGTGTGTCTGTCTGTCTCTCTGTCTCTCTGGCTGGCTGGCTGGCTGGCTGGCTGGCTGGCTGGCTGGCTGGCTGGCTGGCTGGCTGGCTGGCTGGCTGGCTGGCTGGCTGGCTGGCTGGCTGGCTGGCTGGCTGGCTGGCTGGCTGGCTGGCTGGCTGGGTGGGTGGGTGGGTGGGTGGGTGGGTGGGTGGGTGGTGGGCGGGTTTGTGTGGGCGTGTGCTTGCGTGCGTGATTGTGTGTTTGTTTGTTTGGTTGGTTGCTTGTCTGTTTGTCTGGTTGGTTAGTTGGTTGGTAGTTGATTGATTGATTGCATGCTTAGTTGGTTGCTTGGTTGGTTGGTTGGTTGTTTACTTGCGTGCGTGCGTGCTTGCTTGCTTGCTTGCTTGCTTGCATGCATGCTTGCTTGCTTGCTTGCTTGCTTGCTTTCTTGCTTTTTTGCTTGCGGTTATGCTTACCTTGCGTGTTTGTGTGCGAGTGCTTGCTTCTGTGTGCCTGCTTGCTTGTTTCTTGATTGAATTGCCTGTTTGTTTGCTTGCATTGACTGGTTGCTTGTTAGGTTGCTTGTTTGCTTGTTGGTTGGTTGGCGCTTGCTTTCGAACTGACATCAGTCCTCGACCCTGTAAAGACTCCTACTTCCATAGTACGGGTTCGTTTTAAGCCAGCGCAGTCCTTCGGAGCTTCAGCGGCGCCGCTCAGCGTGCCCTGGTTGCTTGCCACCAAAGCTTGGGTGTTCGGGCCCTCTTTTTAGCCTTGGGAATTCAGAAGGAAAATAAATTGCTGGGTTGCCCGAATCTGAGAGACTTCGAGTAGGTCGCCGCCAACCTGCCTGCGGCAGCGTCAGCATATCACACCGCAGCCACGTGCAAAGCTCGGCCACGCCGGCTTCGCAGGCCCTTCTGCGGGCAGCTTCGATGCACCTCACCAAAAGGAAATGGAAACCCCGAAATCCCGAAGACAGGCATTGAAAACCAAAGGTTACACAGTTTGTATGAGACTTTTGAGACTGCTGTTCATTCCGAGACGCCGGCGGGCCGTCGATGTCAAGGCCAACGCAGCGGCAGCCGCAGCGCCGGGCTGCCTGCAGAGGGCCAACAAAAAACACGAGGGACGCGTGGGACGCGTTCGAAGGCCTGCCTCTATGAGGACAACACCATCACCACAGCCCAGATCCCACAGCACGTCCTACAGCAGATGCCATCTTTGCCAGACGCAAAGGCTTCAGCCCCAGAATGGCTGCCTCTGTGTTGTCGGTCTTGGTCTTTCTTTTTCTCCCTCTCTCTCGGAGCAGCTTGGTAGGCATGAAAAGGCAAGATGCAGCGGAGCCATTTTTTGGTGGGGCCCTGAACCCGGGTGGCATGTCCTCTGAGCTCAGGCGCGCTGCCTGCAGGACGTAAGGTATGCGCCCTGCGGCGCAGGGCACAAAGGGCGACACGGAGAAAGGGCCCGCAGCGCTGTCCTGGCCGCTGAAATCCCAGCTGTGACAAAAAGAAGTGGGTATGGGTCAAAATTCAATCGCAAGAGAACCACAGGCTTTAGTCATGTTTCCATTTACCAGGATTGTATTTTGGGTACCTAATATTGACCCACTGGCAAGTCGTTGGCACTTCGAAAAAAGACCAAGTTCCATGCGTTTTGTTGACAGGTCTCTGTGACTGGGAGAGTCCTCTGCCGCTGCGAGCCTGTCCAGCTCATCCTTCCGCGACAGAACATACCTGACATCTGGGATAGTGCCCAAGTGTGCCGCCCGGACCTGAATAGGGGGTTGCATCACCTTGGCCCTGGAACGACTATTTGGGAGTGATGTCCAAACCACTATACCATGAAGTGAACTTGTAGGAAGTGGCCACAACTAAACAACGACCAAACCAATTGCCTGTTGCATGCCGGCACGGCTTCTAAGCAGGTGGCTGCTTCAACAGGGCGGTCTGCTCATCTTCACAGGCATCCACCATGTGCAGAGACCCTGAGATAAGATGCCTATTCGTGGTGTCTGCACTCCGCTCGTTGCAATGGCTAACGAACACGTATTCACATGCCGCAGGTGTTGGCAAACAGTAGAACTGCTGGATGGCACTGCAATGTTCAAATGAATCCGACATGCTCGGCCAACATCTCCTGTTGAGCCAACCCGGCCGGGACTCGGATCTCAGCAGCAAACGGGGACTGCATGCACCAAACAGGCCGTCACGAGCTTTCAAGGACTGCCCCAGAAGTCCTTGTGTGATGCTTCAACTTCTGCATCTTCGGATCCGTCTCGAGATGAGCACCTGTCATGTGTGGCGAGAGAGGCGTGGTTTCTTGCTATGAAGTTATAACAAAGGGGATCTGAGAGGCAGACTTCGCTCCTTTATCACGAAGGATGGGTTGGCCTGTGCCAGCACTTTGTGCAGATTCCACTAGGAATATTTTGGCTGCGCAACCCTTGCCACCCCTCCGATGCGTCACGTTCTTCAGCGGCCTCAGTCATGATGGAGCGCAGCGCTTTCACCTGGAAGCATGTCTTTTCGCCATATCCAAACACAGGTTTGCCTTTGTTTCAGCATACCCTTTTTGAAAGGGAATTGGGTGTGGGGGGGAAGGGGCTCCACAAAACTTTTTTGCCTTCGGATGATGCTGTGCCAGATCAAACTGCACTTTGGAAAGCGCCTTGCGGTGCAAAACGGAGCTCCAATTTTGGAGTGATGCACCTGCTTGTGGCTTTTGTTGCCCGCTTTACCTGAAAACTGTCGCCATTGAGAACACTTCCTTTGCTGAATGTCGGCCCAAGTGTTTGTTGTGCAATTCAACCAAAAAGAAAGGAGCGGCCAACGCAGCGATGACTACGTCATGCGCCTTGAGCCAATGCAATTACAAGCATCCTTGAACTGGCGTTCAGCTCAAAGCAAGCGCGAGAGCAATGACAATGGGCGCCAATGGGCGCCGAATGTGCTCCAGCCCTTTTGCCCATCGATGCATGCCAGCTCCATCCACTCAAATAACAAATAGCGCATCAATTCTGCCACCACATTCACATTGATAGAGTCACCAATGAGCTTGTAGCCTCAGCAAAAGGAGGCAAGGACGCAATGCAGCATCTCGACACTGCCATGGACAGGAGGCCCCATTCTCCCAAGAGGACATGGGAAAACTTGGGTCCCAGTTTCGATTGACGCTTCCAGCTGCGCCCTCCCCAATATTACGCCAGCCAAGAACCTTGGATCAGACCAACCAGTTTGAACATCTTAAAACCAACATCCTCACGAGTCTAATCGTTCAAACCCATTTTGTCCAACTCTGCCAACTTGGAAGATGCCAATGTTGCCAGTTGTTCACATCAGATTGCCTTTTTGGGGGGTGCTAGAAAACCACCCCCTTTGAATGGGGTTCTCCACTTGAACTAAGATCAGAACCCGGATATGTTTTAGACTCTACCCGCCTTGATCTACCTCCAAATAGAGGAGCCCAATGGGTGTTGGCTTGCCTTTGAAGACGGTTCTTTCATCTTTCACTGGTATGTCTTTCTCCAGCAAAACTCCACACCCCGCGTCGAGAGCAGATCCGCAACACAGCGACGGGTGGCGTTGGTGTTGCGTCGCCTTGCCGAAGGAGAAGGTCTCCGGGAAGCCATGGATCCGCAGCAGCTCCTGCGGCGTGAAGTACCTGGCAGTGACCCGCCGCCCGGGCCAGGCCCGGGCCAGGTGGCTCCGAACAAGAAGAAAACGACCAAAAATATGGTTGTCCCACGCTTGTCCTGGCTTGGAGGCTAGGTTAACCTGGGTGTCAAGGTGGGCTGAGGCTGGATGTGGGGATGTAAGATTGTTCCACTGGTGGAGGGGTGAGGCTTATTCTGGATCAGGTTTCAGGTTGGCGTAGGCATGGCCCTGGCTGGTTTGAGATCCGCTTTGGGTGCTGGCTTAAAGCTTTCGCATTGTTCTTGGGTTGGGGTTGGGACAAATCCTGAAAGTAACTGGAACAAGTCCAACAATATGCAGGCAGGCCAAAAAAAACAAAACAGTAACCCAAAAAAGGCCAAAGCGATAAAACCCCGAAGCGGACAATGACATCAAACATGAAAAGGAGAGAGAAGACAATGGAAACATGCAAGATGCAAGGAGACATCCTGATCCACGACAGGGGGGAGAGCGATTCCTTTTTGGCTTCCACTGCAAAACCCGGAGAAAAGTGTCATAGGAGGGAACAAGGGCCTTGGGCGCCAACGTCATGCCCGATCCGCGCCTCACTGCCTCACCCGGCTCCACTAGACGTTGCATGCGGCCGCCCGGCAAGGGCCGAGGGGGGCACCAGTCTGAGCGACGGTCGTCGCCTCCGGGCGGTGCTCTTCCTTCGTTCCTTTTGGGTCGCGGGAGGACACCTATGGCTGGTTTCCTTGTTGGCTTTCCTTTTGCACTGGGCCTTCCCCGACATCGCATTCTGAGATAAACCAACCTCTACGGAGGCCTCAGACTGGAAAACCGGTGTAGGATGAAACCTCTGGCACTGGCTGCCATCGGAAACTGGTACATGGTTGCAGTCAAACTTAGGTGGCCTTGCCAGTCAAGGGCACACTTACTCAGAGCCACAACAAGCAGCCCAGCCGAACGACGTATGCAGGTTTCCAAGACTGGGCACGAGGTCAGAACTAACGCGCCGAGCAGCCGCTCTCAGCAAGCAGCGGCCCAAAGCGGTGAGCGTCAAAGCAAGTAGTTGTGTAGCCTGCATGGAAAGGGCCCATTGAGGGACAAACATTTCTCAGTAGCAGTTCTCTGCTCCGCGCCAGTGCTCCAATTGAAAGGCTCACAAACTTCGCTGGGCCTGAGGTGAAAGTTGAAGAGCTGGTACTGCCCGCCGTCACCACCTGCCAAGCAAACAATCCCAAGAAAACCTGGAGATTCTTTCGCTGGAAACCCGGCTCTCCTGCCTCCCATCTTTGCCCCCGATTCCAGAGCAGCTCAAGCAACTTCGCGGGGACTGAAGTCTCCGTGTCAATCTCCTGTCAGAAGTTACTTGGCACACTTCCCCCAAAGTCCTTCGTCCCAGCCTGGCGCGGCTGCAGGAAGGTCTCTAATCGTTGAGGCTCCGGGGACCGTTGCTGCCCTGGAAACTCCTTGGATGCCATCTCTGCGCAAGGCGCTAAGTCCCAGAGGACCAAACGACAAGGCGCGGATTCCAATGGATGCACGCAAGGCGTGTCGGAACGGCGAGCCAGCAGGTAGATGCGCGGCCTCCTATTGGGAATGCCTGCGGGTCGAGACCAGGACAACTGGTCTCAGACATGTTCGATCCAGTTGCGAAACATCCAAAGGCAAGTTGCGATTTACAAAGACACAAGGAATCCGGAAACCAAAAAATAATCTCAACAGGCCCCTGGCACCGCCGAGCCGCCCAGTTGCAAGGGGCTCAGCATGAACTGCCGCACTTCCAGGCCGGCTCGGCACAGCGCCTTCGGGGTTGAGCATGTGAAGCGACCCGCCAGCGCCTCCGGAAGCCTCCGACAGCAACTCGAAGGACGCCGAGGTCTCGAAGCCTGCGAGATCCCGAGCAAAAGGAAAAGTCGAGCAAACGCTGAGGCCACGACCCACCACGTTCTCCAACAGCAATCCCTCAGAGGAGAAATACAAACGAGGCGGAGACGAGACTCCCGGCCCCCGGGCCTCCGGGCCTCGGGCGGGCGCCGCAGTTTCGGCAGCAGCTCCAGCAGCCGCTTCAGCGGCGCCGCGCGCCGGTCCGCCAGGTCCCGCTGCAGGCCCATGCGCGTGTACGGCTGGCACGGCCTAGTCCCACGTAAGAGCCAAGCTTCCAATGGCTTGGTCGTTTTTGGTGGGACACCCGAATCGTTTACTCGCGGTTTTCCTCGTGGACTTCCCTTAAAACCTCCACAAAAGAGGGGGTGCCGAATCAAGAAGACTTGAGACGCTCCCAAGTTGCGGCAGAGCTGCGGAGACATGACCCAGAGGTCCGCGCCTTCCACCTCGTGAGTTGGAAAATGAACTGGGACTGGCAGACTGGCAATCGATTGAGAAAACCGCCCAATACGGGGCGTGGGAATTACCTTTTTGGGAGGGGTCACCCATGTGCGGTGTCCGAACGCATGACATCCCACTTGATCCGCTCTTGAGCAACTCGGAACATGGCATCCAACCTCGGGCCTCAGAGGCCTGCAGTCGCCGGATGTCTCTCGGCAGCAATGGCTCATAGGGCACCGAGAAGTTGCGGCTGTAGACCTGCACCCAAGCCGGGCCCAAGGACGTGCTGAGAGATATGTCTGCAGAAGTTGGCGCCAGGGCGCCCCAAAAAGCGAGAAGGTACCTCATGGTTGAGACCTTAGAAAAGTCTCTTAGGGGCCCTAAATTCTCCGTGCCCGAAACAATCTGGGCCTGGCCATAGCTCCTTTCCTCGATGGTCCAGATTTTGCGCGTAGGAATCCTTCTGTCAAAATGGGGGAGGGGCCTGTTTGATGGCCTGCGATACACAACCAAGCGGGAATCAATCAACATGCATTGCGTGCAAGCATATATTAAGGATCATCTCTCATTTTGACACACGCAGCAACCAAAAGCCACGAAGTTGGCTTCTTGCGCCCAGCCTGGTTCGCAAGCCGTGACGACTCAAAGTTTACCCACTCCGACATCTGGCCAACGCTGCGTCCTATTTGCACTCATGCGCTTGCAGTTGCGGTACTTGAGGTGCTTGCGGTGCTCGCATTTTGGCCCTTCGGCCCTCGATTGCTCCTTCCAAATGGCAGGCGCGATGGAAGGCCGCTCGCAGTCCTGGCTCAGCTGGGGTAGCGGGTAGCCACCAACGATTCTAGGCTCGAAGGTCCTCCTATCCCCGAAAAGAGCTCCACAGCCCGAAGTGAAGAGAGAGAGGTGGTCGGTGTGTCTGGCCAGGTGCCTTACGCACTTGGGATGTTCAGCAAAACACCCTGACACTCCCCACACCTCACGTTGCGAGTGATCGCCAAGCCACGAGGCTTGACTGTGCCAACGCAGCCTGCAGACCTCAAGCAGCAAGACATGGGATTTTAGTGAGCAACCCCCATTTCCTGGCACCAGCTTCATAGCTTCATGGCTTCACTAGCATTTTGCTGAATGTACCCAATGTCCTCCCGCAATGACAAGTAAACCTCTTCTGCGTCCCGAGGGGCAGCCACAGCTCCGGGCGCTGCCGCAGGAAGACGCTCAGGCGCCCGTGCCGGCGCCGTAGCTCTGAGCTCCACTCCAGGAAAGAGCCCAGCACAGAGAGCCTCGACTCGACGCCGAAGCGGCAAAGCGGAACCTCCCATGTCCCTCCATGGACTATATGGGTCATTTGCACCAAACCTGGCAAGGCCTGTCAGCAGATCAAAAGCTTCCGAGGCGCTCCAAAGGTTCCCCATAGGTATCCAGCGCCTGCTGGATGCGCCGCACCATGCCCCGAGCTTCTCCTCACATTTCCCAATGGACCAAACGGATGAAGGACGCCAACGTGAAACCCTTCCAATTTGGAAGACACCTTTCGGGTGACCCACAAAGGGCGCAACTCTTTGCGGCCGTCAAGGCGTTCTGGCTGTCCTTCATTCGATTCTTCTGCCGAGCGAGCTGTCCGACACCGATGCGTCAGACTTGGCGAATCAGCGAGGGGTTTCTTGCTTCTTCTCTGGAGCTGAGCTCGCGGCAGGCTCAATCCCACCACAGACACCAAACGCCCTGGCATTCAGCAGGTCCCAACTGAACTCAAGCGCTCGGAACGCCTCTCCATCGGCCGGCATGACCTCAGCATGTGTCCAAATGGCAGCTGCTGGGACAAGCTGGCAGCTTCCCTTTGTCTCTGAACACAAGGGTACACTCAAGTCAATTACACAAACCAGAGTAGTATTGAGGGTCCAGCAAGTGTGTGACCCGCGTCAAGCCAAACAACATGGCTTTGTCCTTCTAAAGTCTGTGCCCTTTGGGTTGGTTCAATCCCATGCTCACAAACCCATTTAGTCCTCATGGCCTGCTGGGAGTGTGTCAAAATTCGGCCCAAAGATTGGGTTTCGTCCTTTCCTCCAAGGACTTCAAAACCTTTGTCCCTTTGACGCCTTCTGCCCGGCCTCCGTTGGACACCCGGACAGGTCGCGGCGTCGGCGCGCAGGGCGCGTGGGGCGCGCGGGGCGTAAGGGCCGCGCGGGGCGCGCAAAGCGCAGGCAGCATGGCCACATGGCCGTGACTTGAGAGGCCGGCCGGAAGATTCGAGGCCCGGCTCACTTGGCTTTCTGTTTGATTGAAATTCAGGGTATCAAAGCAATTTTCTGTCAAACACATGTACTGTCTGCCATTCGTGAGACAGGAGATTGCGGCATTGCGGCGGAACATGGCGGAACACAGACAGAGTCCTGAACCATCAAGCCTGACAAGCTGCGTTGGAGAATGCACAGCATCCACAGCATTGGACATCCCACACTTGACTGTTGCAGCGTGCTCATGGCCCCGCATTTTTCCTAAACGTAAGTCGCCGGCTGGTTTGGGACCCCGTCCAACCAATTTCGTAAGCCCTAGCCTAAGTCAGCGCCGCGACTGCGACAGCGCTGGATCGCCTCAACGTATCGCTTGCAAGCTCTCCCTCGTCTTGCCATGACCTCGCCGCCGCGCCTCTCCTGCATCGGTGCCAGACGCATCCAATCCCCGGTGCTGGGGTCAAAGTACTCGGCAGTCCTCAGGGCCAAAGGCGGCGCGGAGGCATGCGAAAGCCCAAAACCTGCCTGAGATCAGAATCTCCGTCGAAGCCGCCGCAGACCTGGGTACACGAAACAAACCATCCGCCATTTTCCGGCCGTCTCAGAAGCTCGCATAGAGACGGTCTGCAATGCTGGCAACGGCTGCTCTGTCGCGTCTGGCATTCCGGTTCAACACCATGACAACTTCGAAGCTTGCGAGGCCAACATGTCGCTCTCCATCTGCAAACGAGCGCGACTTTCAAGGGTAAAATTCGCGAATCCAGACTCCCTCGGCCAGCCGAGTATCGTGAGTCTTCATTTCCGAGCCAAGTTGCGAACGAAACCCGACCCATGCACCTCTCGTTCATGGGCGGGAGCGCCTCCCACACCTCTGAAGCTTGCTCAACAGGCCCTGAAAGCTCGACTCTGTTGATATAAGGCCGCAGCCGCAGAATCTGGATTGAAGCGCTCTGCTGAGTCTAAGCGCCTCCCAGATTGTCGTCAGTCTGTAACCCGGCACGGCTTCATTTTAGGCGCGCGCTGTCGCCCATCCCAGCCACCACACACATACAAGCATCCAGCCGCAGACGCTGCCTAGCTCAAGGCGCAACCAGTTGCAAAACCTCAAGGCTGTGGCCCCCGCCGCAGCACCCACGCGCCGGGAGAGCATCGGAGGCAACGCCTGGGCTTCGCTCCACGGCAAGGCAGTCCCGCCGCGCAGTCCCGCGCCGCCTCCCACACTGCAGCTTTTGGATCATAGCCTGAGTGATCCGGGGGAAGGTTTCGGCGAAAAGGGCTGATTGCGTTTGGGCCGATGGGGACAACACACCCAAAGGGCCATTTCCTTGCCTGACCCCCCTCAGCACGCAAACCTCCCACACTAAGCCACCCTGCGTTCAGCTGAACTCACGACTCGAGCATCATCCTGGTGCAAGACGCTCTTGGACCCCACCACAGACTCAGACTCGATCCTCGCTGCCGAAGACATAGAGCTTCCCTTCAATGACAGCGGCAGCACCTCTCTGCAAGATTCAACATGGTCCAAACTCCTCCTGCCTCTAGTTATGGCTCCTTAACTCTTTGCAAATCCTTGAGGGTTGACAACCATTCCTGCCAGTCGCAAGCAGACCTTTGACGGTGCCATGGCAAGCAAAAGGAAGGTGCGCTGGCACATCGAGCCGAGCGCTGACCACGCGCCGCGCTAGCATGGGAGGCAAGGTAGTCCATGTTTCGACCTACTTCATGAGCGATGTGTGTGTGACCCAGGTAGCTGCGTCCCAGCTGTCACACGACTTTTCGCGCTCTGAGGCACCTCAGGGTCATAGCACTCCGCAAAATTGAGCTGCCCCGCACCTCAGAAACATCCGCTGCGACAGGCAGATGTGCCATGCGTTACGCTTTACCGACATCGTGCTGTGTATGTAAGCTAACCAAACGGCACCACACATGCAAGCGATAACTCTTTTATCCAAGCAATGTGTTGGTGCCAGGGACTCATCTTCCCCTGTCAGATGTCTACGGCTGGGTGGGCCCCATGGGCCACCCACCATAAACTCTCAAAAACTGAAGCCCGCCCCTGAGCCGGGGCCCAGGGCACCCAGGCCACAGGGGGGTCTGCCACCAGAAAAGTGAGTCACCCACCGGCTCCGGTCACGGGAGCATGGGGTGGGCCCACGCTGAGATCAAATGCATCTCCATTCAGGACACGTGGGAGAAAAACGAACTCCTCGCAGAGTTCCTGTTTAGGGACCCTGTGCAAAGGGTCGAACCCAGAGAAATCTGGGTGCGTCAGCTCATCGGCCGACTGGTTGAATTCCCGGGGCACGTGGTTGGCCGCCAGCGAGCAGCCATGGGTGTGGAGCAGGAAGACCAGCTCCATCAGGATAGCCGCGGTATAGGGCTTCTTGGATCCAAGGTTGAGCATCGCCATGACGTTGCCCTGATTGTCACTGCCCACCGGGAGTCGGACCCGGGAGGACAGAGGGCCTTGGTGCGTGAGGATCATGTTACAGAGGAAGAGCGTGCCCAGCATTTCCAAAGCCGCAATCCTCCGCTTGGGATCCCCATTCTTGAATGCCCAAGAGTACTCCTCCACGTGGATCTGCTCGTGGAACCAGTACACCTCCTTCTTTTCCGGCTCCGTTTTGTTGGAGCACCATCCTCCCACAAATGCCAGTCCTTCGTCCGAGGCGCTAGCATCGCTGCAACCCCACCAAGGAGTACTGGACGAAGGGCGTGTTGAAGAGGAACCGCAGCATGAACGTCAGCATCCTGACCACCTTGGGGGGTTTCCCCACCGTGGCGGTGGCCATCTTCCAGGCACAATGGTTGAAGCATCGACTTCGCCAGCGGACATGCAGCAGTTGCCCATTGGATGCGGCCCAGGGCCTTGACCTCCATCACCAGGATGTGCTTGTTGGCAGCCATGAGAACCTGCGGGATGTTCGGGTGGACCACGAAGCCCAGCCACGTGTTGACCTCCGCCAAATGTGTCTTCTTCCAGCTAAGCGGGGTGCCCAAGGCCAGGAGCGCCACCGCCAAGTTTACTGCCCCCTCACTGCGAAGCAGCCACAGGAAGTCATCCACAAACACGAAGTTCCAATCCACTTGAGGGAAAAGTGCGTAGAGGACCCTGAGTAGAAGGGCTGCCAGGCGTCCCCAGTAGGATTGGGCACTGGCCATGCCGTATGCGCCTACCTTGTTCACCCGCCATTCTTCCCCCAGTGAAGCCACCTGGAACCGCCAGTCCTTTCTGAGGACCTTCACTCTCCGGTGGGCCTTGGTGACGTCCGCCTTGAGCAGCACCCACCTGGTGCCCGGCTCCGGCCATAGCCAGCCCCCGGGTGGAGATTTGGCGACCTCCTTCTTGGGGCCGGGGGCACCCTGAGAGGGAGGTCCCTCCTCAGCTGCCGCATGTAGCCAATGAAGAGCTTGTACCCCATCCAGCACCGTCGGAGCCGTCGTCCTTTCCACCGTCTGGTTCCTGATGGTGTCATTGGCCCCGCCCACCGAGCCATCGTAGATGGTGCGGATCTTGTCCCCCTTGTCGATGCCCGCTAGGGGGCCTGGACAAAGATCCTCCAAATTGCAGCCACAGCGCGCTGCTGCCTCTACCTTTGTGAGAGGGCCATCTACCATGCCCATGGGGACCTCCTCCAGGAATGTGCTACGGATGAGCTCACTGAAGTGATCCGCTGAGGGGTAGTTACCCCGGCCCGTGGGATGAGGGAGTTCCTGGAACTCCGGCTCCTCCCCTTTTAGCTCCTTCTTGAGTGGCCAGATGCCTGGCGAAGCTAGGGGTGGGTCCGTGACCCCCAGTGGGACCCCTTGTTCCAGATCCCGAGGAAATGTTCATCGCCAGGCTGTGCAAGATGTCCAGGAAGAAGGGTTGGCCTTCCTTCCAACAGATCCTCCGGGAAGGGGTGTGACCCGTCCCCCAACGAGAGCGACTCCTGGAGTTTGTCCCCCATGGCGACGTGAGGACACAGATCTTGGCCCCCATCGCTGCTGCTTTGGACAGTGGCCTAGTCCACGGGGCCAGCCGTCCAAGTGAGGGCTTCCCACCCCCGTCCCTGAGGGGGCGCTGTTTGAAGGCCATCTGGAGGTACATCACCTTGTCGGAGAGATTTGGGTCGTGCGTGATCGGCAGGGTGGTGGGCCGATCCGAGATCTCCATGCAATGGCGCGCCCATGGCTGAAGGGGAAGAGTTTCACCCCGAAGGTCGACCGTCCTGTCAGCCGGCTGTGTTGGTATCCGGACCGCAGGATTGTCTGAGGCCGAGACCGGAAGTGAGCCCAGGGTTAGTCCTGCCAACGCTTGTTGGCCGGCCTTCAGCCTCCGGGACTGGCGCTTGTTGTCCCCCGGTGTGCTGGGAGATGGTTCCCTCTGCCGCCTCGGGGGGGTCGTTGGGTTCACTTGGGGCGCCGTGCCCCCCGGCTTCAGCGCCTCCAGGACGGGTCCCGCTCTGCAGAGGATGGCCGCCGCGAGACCCTGCATCATCTGCTCTGGGTACTGACTGAGGTCACTGGAGTTGAGCTTTTCCCCCCTGGGGTGAGCTCCGTGGTTGCATCGCAGATCATGCCAATGGTGAAGAGGAAGGTCCGTTGACAATGTCGTGGACTTCACTACCACCTGGCCCAGGCGGCACTCGTCAAACTTGATGAGGGAGTGGTGGAGTGCGTTCGCCCATTGAATGTAGGCCCGTGTGACCCAGATCGATGAGCACCTCGCTGCGCTCGCTCTTGCTGCACTCCATTGCGTCCATTGGGTGCTCCAGGAAGGAGGAGCCCACCTGCGGGACCGTTAGTTGACCTAGTCCTTGGTAGGCCAGCGAGGTCAGGTACATCTGTCGGAGCATGAGCACGCTGTCGTTGTCCGTGTCCTCCATTACCCGGGGCTCCAGGTCCTCCAAGCCCCACAGGGTCTGCTCCGCCCTGCCCCTCACCGGCGGCGGGCCTCCCGGTTTGGGGAACCATCTGAGAATGCTCCACGTTCTGCAGTTGGGGCCGCCCCCCACAAAGGCGACCTTGCCCGCCATGGCCATGGAGCACATTGTGGAGTATGGTTCGTCTCCCAGCATGTCCTGTCCAAGATCGCCCCCCTTTCGCCTAATGTCCACTGCCCAAATGTACTCCGAGAAGGCCGGGTTGTAGGCATGGAGGTAGGCATTCCTTCCCAGCGTACAGCAGGATGAGGGTCGGCTTCGACGACTCCGGGACCGGACGTGGCGTCCACCTTAGTCTCAGCCTCAGTCTTTCCGGGGTGTCTTGCATCCAGGGGAAGGTGGGGCTTGTCCTTCCTGGGGTTTCCGTGTGTCCTTTGTCCGACCCTCTGGTCGTCTGGCCCTGGGCTTGCTGCTTGCCCTGACGGTTCTGCCCGCCCTTGGAACGCCCCTTGCCCGGCGGATCCTCACCACTGGGTCTCTCTGGGGGTTCATCCCACTGCCTCGGTGGGTGCGGGGGAAACGGGTGTTTCCGCCCTTCTGGAGTGGCCTGGCTGGGTCCACTCCTTTTCTTCGGTGGAGGGGCTTCCGGGGCCGGTGGCACCCTGGAGAAATCCCCTCCCACCTGCGGCCGTCCTGGCCTCCCCAACTCCGTCTGCCCTCTGCTGTGGCTCTGGTGGGATTGGCTCTCCCCCGCTGTGTGCACTAGCCACGGGGCCTATGGCACCCTGGGTGGCCTCCTGTCACTTGGGGAGGTGTGGGCATGCCTGTGGCACATGCTTTGATGGGGGGGCATCACACACCCACCCATCCTTCCTGACCGGGCAATTGTGGGATCGGCCGCATGATCCCGAGCATTTGTTGTGAAGGTGATGGTCCCTGCAGTACGCCACCCCTTTGGGATTCTTGAAAGCCCAGTGGTCTGGCCATGGGGTCGAGGAGGTGTTGGGGGACTTTCCTTTGCCGCCCTTGCCCTTTGGCTTGGAATGGGTAGGCCCCGAGCAAGATCCTTTACCCCCCTTCTTGGGCTTCTCCCACTGAGTCTGCCACACCTTGGGTGCCTTGCTCTTGCTCTTCCCCTTCGTCGTTGGCGCCCTGTTGAGGTGCTCATAGACCTCCCGTTGCCAGAAGAGGAAGTCGCCCCTGATGTTCTTGAGGGCTTCGGAGAGAGTGGTGCCCTGGTGCACCATCTCGTGAATCTTGCGCCATGCATTGCGCTCTGCAAACAGCAAGGTGGTGTCGCTCGGGGGAGGTTTCCTGCCGGCTATGTCCTCCCCATAGAACCAGGCATACCAGTCATCCAACTCCTCCTTGGTGACCCTCAGGTTGCCAAACTGCGGCAGTGCTGCCGTGCACATCAGGAGCGTCGTCCTGAAGGTTAGGTGCAATCGTTCCAGCTGGCGCCGAGATGTAGGGTGGCTCCTCACCTCTTCTTCATCCTCCCTGTCCCAGCCGTCCACCGTGATCTTCTTGTGGGTGGATGAAGGGCGTTCCCCTTCTTCCGGGAGCGCGCTCACGATGTGTTTTGCCGGGATATAGCCCAATTCGCCCTTGGCAATCAAGCGCCCTTGCTTCTTGAGGTAGCCATCACTACCTTGGAATTCCAACCTCGGCTTCGGGGTCCCATGCGTGGCCACGTAAGCATCTTCCAGCTGGCGCCTGTCACACAGGACCTCTAAGGGAGCCTTTGTCGGGCCCGCATGGCCCGCCGGGTGGTCACCCTGGTTGCCCCCCCTGACCAAGTTTGCTGCCACCCGTACTGCCTGAAGGAGGCGCATTGCCGTGAAGGCCGAGGTCTGGGCGTTGAACCCATTCTCTCCATCCTGGAAACCCAGGTCCCTGGGACCATCCCTAGCCGCCGCCGGGGTGTTCCAGCGATCCGCCAGGTCCACCGTGACGTAGCCCGATGCG